GAACGCACGGTATACGCTGCACGCGAGTAATATCTATGGTCTGAATCCTGAAAACCGCAGAAAAATATTTCCAACGGCGATGCTCCCTGAATGTCATCGTGCCTGTCATTAGAGTCTTACCACCATTCGAGATTAACACATTAATATTGTACGAGAAAGAGAATTTTATTTGAAACGGTATAATTATTTCATGACAACTCACAATAAAACGATCCTCAAATAAAACAACTCACACGCTATTTATACACTCAGATGCTTTCATTGCCATGCATTAACTTCATGTATATTTGGAATATTCTAGATTCATAGAAAACGAACATTATTAACATAAAAATCAATATAGAGAAAATCAATTTAGTCTAGAATATTTCAATACTTTGAACATTCCTTCAAAATGCGCTCAGTCGCGTCATTAACACTAGAACTACCGAGCATTTGATACAATTAATATGCAATTCCTATAAAAATTGTAACAATAGATTATTTTCAGTTTCTTCAGGCATTCATTATAGTACTCAAATGAAACTATTCATTTTCAAAATCATTCGAAGATATCAATAATTGCTAAACAAAAAATCGAAACCAGTCATTTTGACTGGTACATTAATATATCGCGGATATTAATGTAGATATATTTATATCTCCTGTGCATTAATTTTCATAAACTGAAATTACAGTGAAATTTGAATTGAAACTTATAGAAGAATTATTTGATTTTAAAAGCTTCAACAAATGAAACTACCTGAATATTCGTAGAATATTTCACCTAAAATAGAATGATTTGAAATCAAATTTGTTGGATATTGTAACATCACATAACTGAATATTTGAAAATTGTGTATTACAAACGTCTGAACTTCAGATATCAATCTATTTATTAATTATATTTTGCATAACCATATTATTTTCAATGATTTGGGTAATTGTAGAAAAAGGCTAACCATTTTCTTACTTACAAGATAGAATTTTTATTACATGATTCGTTTGATTATAAATTTATCACGTAACGTATCGGAAGAATCACTGCACCTGACTCGATGGAACCGATACTGTCCAAGTCTTTTAAGTATTTACAAAAACATATCCGCGTGTTATGCTCCGCGAAATTCTGCAGCATTTTACTTCTCTGAACTTTTGAATGGAATAGTTCCAACTTCCAGACTTTCCACTCGACGTTACATCCCAAACAACTTCGAAGTTGTAGGTCAAGAAACACACTGTTGTTAGATTGAACTCAGCTATATCGAGGGAAATGAAATATCACAGCGTTCATTCAAATTACCATAAATTTTATCCGCATAACAAATTTCGCAAAAATTCCGAATAAATATATTGTCGAGTAAAGATAACGTTTGTTACATTTTAATAAAAACCGTCAGCATAAAATCTTTATCGATACAACTTAAACAGAAAATAGTTTTCGTTATTACATGTTTTATTACAATGAAAGTCAGGCAATACTTTATTTGAATTTTGTAAATATTTATAGGTACTGCACTGTACTTCATGTCCTAACAATTACTATACGCTCATAAAATCAGCTGGTTAATAATAACAATAACTAAGTTAAACCACAAAAAAATATAATACTGAATAGTATTTTATAATCTTTCATTACAATTGAAATGCACATTCACTTATCTGTCGCAATTAAGAATGAAATTTTTTAAGTGAAATTGCTTCTTAATTTTGTTAAAGTTCAATTAAGATTTTTAATCCAGTAATTAAGATAGGCGTCAAACGTATTAACGATGGAATTGATTGCTATAAGAAATATCGAACACTCATGTGTTTAAAACATCTATACACACAGATCTATATTGAAAGAAGCATAAAATAAAATGGAACAAAGTGAAACCAAGAAAAACAGAATAAACTAACAATTGTCTATATATCACGAGAAGAATGAACCCAGAAGAACATACCACGCCGAATAAAACCGATGAAATTCTCTTTGTCTCGTTTTAATTTAGTCCGCGACCGCCGACAAGATTCAAAAAATTCGCTTCCATTTCTCGGTGGCTCGCCTAAGCGCGCGCGCGGGCGCGCGCGTCATAATCTCACTTATTTCTCGGCCAGTCACTCCGGGAAATTGAAATGGAGATGCGTGTGTTTTTCTATTCCCATTGGTCCGCGGATCGTGCACGCGTGTACGGGGCAACCGGCGCGTGCACGTGTGAACGCGACGCGGAAGACGTGTAGGAAACGCAGTCGGAAGAGCAGTGAAACGTGTAGAAACCGCCGGTCGGCGGACAAATTGCATTAAATCTCCATTCGCGTCGCGCGGAAAATATCGACGCGCCGAGAGGAGGCGGTTTGACGTAAATATTGATACGGTCGCGGATGAATCGCGCGCCGGTTGCATCTTTCATGCGATTCGACCGATCCGCGGAAGCAGGTTTCGAGAAGAAAATCAACCCCCACGGTTTTCATTATTTATTTCAGCGTACCTCGACAAATTAAAACGACCTCCTGCGACAGATCGAACGGATTGTCAGCGACGAATCGAACTGCGCCTCCTGCGAACGATTAATGGCGTAGTCGCGTCGAAAAATATTATTTACATTATGAAAACAGGATTTGCGTTCCTTCGTCCGCACTGAATATTCATCGTCGGCTGAAATTTGAATTTCTCGAATTGAACTCTCGAAAGTGACTTTGTTTGCGATGGAGTACCAGTGACCTGAAAATGCGATTGCTAGAAATTGAAAGGAAAATGGTGGCAGGTGCGAATAGCAAAATAATAGTACTGCAGAGCGTTGTTATTATTATGAATATTATTTTATAAAAATTCTCTCAGTCGTTTATTATTCATTTTTGTCCAATTTCAACAATTGTCCGCAACATGGAGTATCAAAAATAAATTCGGTGCTTCTACCGTTGTCACGCAAATAACAGTGCGATACTTCGGATCACGTCTCCGTTCCGAAAAGAAAATAAATTCGGGTGAGCCGTTTAAAAAATGTATGAATACCTGGTGACTCCCTGTGGTTGGAGAACCGCCATTCTGAGAAATAATTCAGCTACGTACGCGCAAAGGTATCAGGACACCCGATGTTTATAGCGAAACTTCAGTGTAAATTATATATGTCGAGTCGCGTTGACTGAAAAATGTTTCAGGTCACATATTTATCACGTTTCTTGTTACCGAAGTAAGAGGAGTTTACTTCTGTGATCAATACTAATGACAAATGGCAGTGAATATGTTGAACACAGAGCGTACTTTATTTTAACACGTTGAATACCGAAAATCGAATAAATATTAGTTCATTTGATTGAATTGCGTTATTATTATTACATTCTCATTTAGCCGAAATCGCATTAGGTAGCATTGTTTATGATATAAAAATGCTTTCAAATAATCGTCGTTTATTTGAGTGAACTATAGTAATTCAATTTATCCCATGGCATTCAACGTGTTAAAAAAAGACATCAATACGGTTACTTTTTCAGTGCACTTAGTTGCGGTCATTCTAACCTAACTTCTGTTTCTCACTTCCGACTCAGACCATTCACACAATGTTAATTTTCTTTGCGAAAGAAGCATATCATAAATAGTACAAGAGCAAATTGAGATTATAAACACATTACACCATATACCTTCGTGTTTGGTAACCGGAAATTACCATAGCTACACAAGATACTAAAGGAGGATGTAATATTTTAAAAGCTATAAATTATCAGTAACATTAATCGATTAATTAATTTTATTAATTAGAGCTGATGTGCTGGAAAAAAGGAAGTAGAGAGGAAAATAATCCAAAAAAATATAGTAACGCAGGTTAGTTACTTTTGCATAGGTAATAAACTGCACCCAACTGTCAAACATTTTGTTACACGACAGTTAATATTGTTTACGAACTTGCTTATGTGGTAAAATTGCAGTTCAGTCCTTTTTCCTAATTTTGGTTATTTCACTATAATCTTTATTTAGGTTTCATTTTCTCAGTACAACGAGGAATCAATTGAGGGTCCAAGAAGTTATGTAATTATTAAATTGTTTTTATTATTGGTAATACCGTAGTTGAATCGCTCTGCGATAGAAAAGAGAATTCTCTATAGCTCCGTCTCACTCCGTCGCATTCGGTCTCGCTTCCGTTCTTTGTCATCGGCGCGCACCAATAATGGCCATGCGTCGAAAGTCGGGGCGGCCCGAGTATCGTGAGTGGAATAATCCCCTTACCCCTGTGCACTATTAGCTTTCAGGATTCACTCAGGCCGTGAGAACTAGACAGTACGTAACCTTTTGCAATTAGTACAAATTGCATACTAGAAATCTGAAAAAATGCGACCCAGTTAAAATGATTCCAAACATCTTCAGTTTCTAATTTATATAACGAAACTTTAATTTATCAATGAAACAGGAAACGAATTATTCTCGTTAATCACGTGTTATGTGGACAATTGAAAATTTGTGTAATTGCGACTATAAGAACCTTTGAAAATAAACGGTAAAATTATTTTAGTTGTATTCGATAGAAACAAAATTCCCACCATCGACTTGTAAAATAAGCTGAAACTTCAAATTAATAGTAGCATAACACTTTGATCGCCATTTTCGTATAGACCGAAAAATTAATTTCTTCAATCTACGTGATGCAAGATGGTTAATGAAGCAATCGTTAAAAGTCATGACTTTTCAGTTTCTGTTTCACTGTTTATTTTAACCCTTAGCACTCCAGATTATTTTGTAATCTATCAGCAACTGCAACTAATTTTCATAGTATTCCCAGCGAAAATTAGAAACACTATAACATTTCTTCGATCTCTTATTTTCCTTCTTAGTACAAAATATGTATATGCGGAAAATCGAATAACTTTAGGGTAGTTTCTTCAAGATTCATTAAAATATTTCATATCACAACCGGTGCAATATTGTAGCCTACAGAGTTCAAAGTGTCGAACTTAATGTCGACTTAGCGACGAACGTGTTAAAAGCGCGAGAAATCCCTCAAAATTGATACGACGAAGTCGCGATGACAATTCGCTCTCTGTTGCAGTGGAAGAAGGTGATGGCCCGTACCACGCGCTCACGACGAAAAATGGCGAACACGACTGATGCTCCCTCGCCTGCGAGCAGCCTTCTGTCGTCAACCACGACGACTCCGTTCAGCAGCCCGACATCGACGTCCTACTCCACCGAGGGCTATACCTTCAATTACAGCGGCCTGCCTAGTCTAGGTGGCTACTCGTTGGAGGATCTGAATTACACGGAACTCTGGGCGGACGTCTGGAATAGCACCGAGGCCAGTAACGTGACTGAGAGATTAAATACCACTGTACTGTCGTCGGGAGGTGGCTACTGCGACGAATGGGAAGCAGCGCAGCACAAACTCTTCCAGGTGAGCATTAATCAACGTTCTATCTATTATGAATACACAAGCATAAAATAGGTGTTCAAGTATAGGTAGACAGGTAAACAGGGTGAGTCATTCGCTATAAAACTTTATTCGCGCTCTTTCCGGATAAGACATTCTATGGTTTGCATATAAAACAATAACGTATAAAGTCTGTACGTTTTATGCTCTTAGAACTACTTCTATTTATGTCCTCCTTATTCCTCCATTCTGCTTTCGTAGTTCCAGTTTAACCCCTAATTTTCTTTCCGCTGCCTCATCACCAGTTTTATTATTCCTTCTTGATTTATGTATCTCTATTTCTTTCTTCTTTGTTTTACTCCTTCTCCCGTTTTATTTTGCTATTCTGCGTAGTTTATTTGATCTGCATTTTTCGTATCAGTGGTCAAATCATTTTTAGTTTTTCATTTTGTTTTAGCTGATTCCTCTTTCTCATTCCTATTTGTCTACTATTTGTTTTCAGATCTAACACGTAATTAGCCTTTCTTTTTCTTCTTCAGACCCTCTGTCATATTTCATTTCATCTGTTATTAATTTCTTTTAATATTATTTGTTTGTTCTGTTTTATTTTCTTTGACTAACATTTCTATCTTATATCCACTTCTAATTCTTTGTCGTTTTCATAGTTTATTTCTCTTGTTGAAAATTTAAGTAATTTGAAAGCAATATGAAAAGAATGAAATTCTGTAAAAATTAGAACAACATTTAATTTCATTATGTTTATTTATATTTCCTTTCATTCCTCTTTTGAAAATCCACTGTCTGTCCATTGCCAACTGATTCTACTATACGTAGCTGGAACGATAGCACACGCTGGGACACAGAGGCAAGGAAAGCATTTCGCTGGGTCTGCCTTTGATGTTCGTTATTTGTCTTTAGGGGACGACGACGTGACAAGAAACATAACGACAGCAGAGTAAGCGAACTAGACCAATGACAGATGAAACCGATAATTTCGCATACTGAATGAGACCTCCCTTAGCGGGAATGAGAATTTCTGCATTTTTCGTTTAACCCTCGGAATAACAAAGAAAAGACTCCTCGAACCCACCGCGTTAAAAATTTGGAAAAATCTTATATCCCTCATTTCAATAAATCTCATGAAATTATTTACTGTTATTTATACCTTTAAAATTGCTACTGATTGAACAATTTTGAAAAGTTCGAAAAATTATGCTATAAGTTTGTCAGAAGCGACGTATAAAAAAGTTAAGTATAATTTATCGAAACCTAAACAATTCCGTATCTGATGTAAAAATCGCTCGTCACGAGGATACGAATAATATAGTAATATTTAATAGAGGTACAGAGTCAAATATGTTAAATTTCGATTGATATCGAAAACATAATAAATAAAACTAAATTAAAAGTCAGTTTACGTGAATCTTACCTTTATGACATTTCTCTCATGTACCAAGTGTGTTGAAATATTTATATTTGAGAAATTTCCACCAAAAAACTACAATAAATTCGAGTGGGCTCCGCGAGCACACACTTACCTCTCCTCCTGGTCATTCACGTTACAGGTCAAGGGTTGGTCTTCCTAGGGTTAAGGAACTGCATACACTTAAACAGATAAAAAAATCGATTTAACCGAAAACACTGCGAATGTACTATATCCGATATGTCAGTTGTTAAATTTTATCGAAAGTTTTACAGGTATAAAAAAAAACCAGTATATCGAACACTCAGCATCCACTCAACTGGAACATGTAAATTTTAATTAAACTTGACATATATGTGAAACATCAATGTATACTCGACTCGTATATTTTTATAGCTTCCTGTATCCGTTTACGGGGTGAAAATAACCCTCATATTTGGGAATGAAAAATTTATTTCGTGAAATATTTTAAGAACTAATGAAAGATGGAACGAAAAATGTTGGATATAAAAGCTGTTCTCCATTTTGTTAGAAATAAGGTCACGTAAACATTCTCCAGTATCCATAGATAACATTAATGCAGTTTAAGTAACATTAATTGTTTAGTTAATATGAATTACACGCTGAATTTATTAAACATAGTTTTCCCAAATTTGTTAAATCTTTTAAAAGAAGAAATTAAATATAAATCCACTACAAATGGAAGTGCAGTCAATGTCATATAACTCTGAACTTTTACGTTAAACTATCTGAACGGATCGTTGACAGAACATTTTTTTAAATAAATAACGTTATATAACAATTCCTGCAATTATTTACGGTAATATACAAATATAATAAAGTTTTAGTACCATAGTCAGTTCTCTAAAGGAACTTATCATAATTTATTTTTACCTTCAGGATAATTTTTCTCTAAAAGTTACGAATTAAAGGAAACTAACTTATTTCTAAAGAGACGAACAATTTTTACGTTGAAAATTTTTCTTTGATGACACTCATAAAGTAAGTTTTTTTTTTGCTATTATTTTCTACTATTCTGCTATGCAAAATTATTGCTGTTAAAGACTAACATGAAACACTGCATATCTTAATGCAGTGTTATAATCCAGGAACAAATTAATATCTTTCAGCCATGGTGGCATGCTGTTACTAAAAATAAGAAAAGAATGTCTCATAACATTCCTTGGAAAGAAAACTTAGATCTTATATATACATATACTACGTATTATATTATTATATTTTATGTCTGACTCACCCCGTGTACAAGTCCTTTACGGACATAGATTTACAAAACTTACAGATCGTAGATTTAGGATTTTACATAGAAAATAGAACATTACGAAACAGTAGAAAATACACCAATGTTACATAAGTATTGAGAACGAACAGTAGTATTTTTTACACGTGAAGTTACTTCATTATTTAGGAATAGTCACGTCGAAATAGTGTGTTTACTAGAAACATATAATTTACAGTATTGGAAATAGAAAAGATAGAATTGGTAATGCGCACTACGTATATGTAACGGATAAAATGTGGCACATATCAGTAGAATTTTAGGCTTGCGATGGCAGTTGTATCAGGTTTTCATCTGACGTCACGTTTTTCGATACATCGACGTATTTTTTCTACTAAACATGTTCTTAACTTTCAGAAGAAACAAGTTAAACAATTCAGCTTTTATTTTACGAAAGTAATTTCTTTGGTGAAATCTATTCGATTTAATTTATCAACATCTTAGAAAATCTTGCGCACTCGTGTTCCACTCGAAAATGATGAATATACTTGTATGGAAAACCTAAGGTTCGCAGTTATTTCCACTGATGAGGATTAACTTTGTTAGACATTGAGTACCGTGTGTAAGACTTAAGAAATACAAGGTATATCGCTGAGTGGACATCGGAAACTTTGGTTACCGTTGAACTTTAACACGTTGACTGCCGCACAAATATAGAAAATGAAAATAATGTAGCATCAACGTATGCCATTGAATTACGTTGTTATTATTACAGGCTTGAATTGCTGAATGTCAGCGCATTAAGTTGTATTACTTATAATACAGAAAAGCGTTCAAATAATCATCGTTTAATCGAATGAATTATAGTAATTCGATTTGGCCACCGGTGACCCCCATGGCATTCAACGTGTTAATGACGCATTCTCGTTCCATGGTCCTGAAAATTGGTAATTTCCGTAACATTCTGCCAATAAAAAGCAGATACTGTGTAATTTCAATCCTTTTATTACGACCTTATTAACCTTTCGTTTGTCGAGTCCTTTAAATCGTAATTCCCTTCAACGAATTAATCGGTATATACAGATATGTATCTCCGTATCCAGATTTGAAAGATAATCTTTATAATGATGTTTCCTTTTAGTTCCTGTTTCATTCAACAAATTATACTAACTTTATAGAATTTTTATGATTGGAGTGTTAATAAATTTTAAATGACTTTTAAACTTTGGTAGAAAATCTTTACGAGAGCAGTTTCATATTTCTAGTTATATGACCAAAAATCGATTGAAGGAAGGTAAAAAAGAAAAAACTAAAACCAAGTTACAATGTCAAATTAGTAATTAGATCTTCCCAAGTTCCAAAATTTTTAAGTTTCTTAATAATCGCTGCGTAGTAGTGTTCCAAAGCAATTATATTATAGAAGCTGAGTATAAAACTGAAAAAGATAAAAGCTTTATTTCTTGGCTACGAAACGTGAGAGTACCTTCTTAACTTATTAACTTATTAATTTGCTCCGAAAATGTTAAAGGCAATAAACTTTTATTTGACTTTGTATTATTATTAAAAATGCAATGTTCAATGACCAAGTTTAATATGTGTTAAAACGTTGTCCAAGTATTATCAAGCGACACAATCAAAAGAAAGTAAACAAACAAAATGGTGTTATAAAAATGGAAACGTAATCTGGTTAAAAAAGATCGAAAGACTGTAGCAAGATTAATTACCCTCCGCTCTCACAAGACATTTTAAAAAGTAAATTTAGCAGTTAACAAGTTAATCTTTTAACTGTGTATTCTCGAAACTTGAACATTCACGAACAATTCGAGACAAAGTAAATAAATATAGTAAACTGTGTAATAATACATACAATTCAATATCACATGAATACGAAAACTAAAAGAATTGTTGAGAAATGAAACTGAACTTGATTGATGAATTAACAAATTAACCCCTTGCCCTATGATTTGTTTCTTAACTATGATCGATGCAACTACTTTATCGTTAATAATTTACCAAGAATACAACAAATTTTAATGCTGATTAACGATATTACGGAAGTAGTATTTAATTTATATTTAAAAAGAATTAATAATACTTAGATTTCTCAAATTCAGTTGAAAATTTTCGTCACGAGCCTGACACGATATTCTAGGTCAAGGGGTTAAGAGGCTAACACCAAACGTACTGCGACCGGTCGAATGACCGGTTTAAAAATTTCATTAAAAATTTTGTATTTCCTTTCGTCCATTTAAGTTTCTATCAATTCTTATATCCAAATCAGTTTATCAGTTTCCTATTGTTTAAATTCCTGTTAAAAAAAATTGCTCGTCCAATCTAAAGTCTTGTGCGAAGAAGTTTCACCTATTTTACGCAGATATGTACACCAATTTTGTTTATTAATAGTGTTGTATAGAGCGATACATTTCAAAACAATCTAGTACGTGTAACGCAACAAGATAATCGACGAGTATAAAACGCCATCGGTAATTTCGGAACAAAAACATCCCAACAAGCGTGGTACATTTTTCCATTGCAAGAGGTTAACCGTTTGTATGCTAAACTTCTGTGGATATTTACCAAAAATGCGGAGGTGATTCTATGTGTGCAAAAAAATTAACAAGAGTAGTTATCTAATAAGATCGCAAACATTGTGTCACTACAAAAAAATATGAAATAACATTTATTCAAATAAATTTACTTCGATTTACTTCTTGAAAAACATAGCAAGAAAATTATAATTGACACCGACAAACAGAAGCGCCTCCGCGTTGTCCGCAATTTTGGCACAACACAAGAGCTATAACGCTCCTCAGCACTCAAACGGTTAAGAAATCTCTCGTGCGTCCGCTTAGGATTCAGACCTCGCGGAATGACGTTCATCAGCGCGAACGACACCGACAAATTTCCGCGATGCCCATCCTCGATCGTACATCCCGAAGCAAACCGAATTGAATCGAATCACAGCCCGGTATGCCGGGATTGTCACGTGGCTACCGTTTCGATTTGCCTTTTTTGTCAGGCGGCGAATCTATTCTTCGCGGCGGCGTTCCTGGTGCCGCGCTCCTTCAAGGCCTCGGTATTGGCACTCCGCACGTTTCTGACCGCCGGCTTCATGCTGGCCGCTCTGTGGGCCGGGATCACCATATGCGCTCTCGACGCGATGCTATGGTGCTTGGCCCTCGGCCTTCTGAACGGCATTCACTCCCTCATACTAGCCTGTCGATTTCTACCGCCTGCGCTCAGCCCGGAGCTAGCCGAGCTCTATCTGAAACTCTTTAAGCCGTACAAGGTTAGCAAGAAGCACTTCCAGGAGCTGGCCAAGGAGGCGAGGATACTCAAGCTGGACTCCGGTCAGACCTACGCCACGGAAGGCGTCACGCCGGCCGACGCACGACTGTCGATACTGTTGCGCGGCAAGTGAGTATTCGAACTCGCAGGGTTTAGAGCACAGAACCTCGATTATTCGATACGATCGAACCACCGAGAGTCTGGAGATAGCGACACGAGGAAACATTGTTCGAAGAATGTTTGGACAATTGGATTGTTTACGCACTATATTGTGCAGGGTGGATTTAATTGGGACAGGATGTAACTCTGTTAGGAAAGGTTTTAACAGTTAATATTCGTTTTATTAGGTAATATTTAGTTTATTGATTCTCATGATACACGTTGTTAAGTATGGATTCGCTTTCAATAAAACCATTAATTATGCTGTTAGTCTACCACTATGTGGTTATATAATCATCAAGATTAGTAGATACATTGTTTCACTCAATTTAACACCGATATTGCGTGTATCTACAATTATTATGAAGTATAAAAATAAAATGTCTATTTTAATTATATGACTAATTATGGGACACTGTTAATTTACTGTCGAAACATACGGGTGTGTAAATATTAATACATTGTTTATCGGTCACGAGTTAACTCGTGTTTGCACTTGCTTTAGCTATTTCAATGTTTGAAACGCAATATTGCAAAAGCAAGATATTCAAAGTTATATAAAAGATATGTCCAAAGTTTCATTTCAGTTCTGCGTAAAATTGCCGGTCAACAATGTGTTAAGATACAGTTAGAGACTCAGAATGAACAATACAAGGTTGAATTTCTGAATATTTCTCAATGGATTCCACTGGCGAGAGTTGTAAGGTTCATCGAAGAAATTCATTCAATCCAAAAGAAAATGTAAAATCTGCAATTAAAAATGTAATTGCACTTGGAAACTGCATCAATACAATTATAAGAAAACCTAGTGCTGTATATACTATGATAGAGCCAGATAAATAGTACAAAGTTTTCCTTCAGGCTTTTTTCTAACGTGAATAGAAACGGAGTTATGGCCTGTCCCAGTTGCTAAATACACCCTGTATATAACGTGGTATAATGTAAGAATAGAAAGTTATTAAGTTTGTAGATAACCAAGACTTTGGACCATCTGGGTCGCAAAAACTAATGACTCGGTTAATCGAGGCTTACTGTCCAAGCACAACCCCTGATAAAATGTTTCCAATTAGACTCGCGAAGACAGCATTTTTTAAAAATATTTATGTCTTAGAAGTATAAAATGTTATAACTATGTAGTTCAAATTAAGAGAATTATTATACAGTAAATAACAGCAAAATTACATAAATCTCTATTTATTATGAAAAAGAAGTTAGAAAAGAAACAAAATGATGCATGGAAAAATCTTTTATCAATATTTTCCATTGATAGAAATTTTAGAAGTTTCCGATCCGATTTGTATTTATAAGTAATTTATATTAACAAATCAAGTCGGAAACCTTTACCATGTATATTTTGTAATACTTCTTTTCTTTTTTCTCATACTGGAGAAAATGTCATTTTTTTGTCATTTGCTCTATAGTAGGTACTTATACAATGTCCTTTACTTTTGATTACATACAATAACATTATATACTTATAAAACATGAATGTTTCTAACAAACTTTGCTAATGTCTCTAGTAGGAAACATTTTGCCAGAGATTGAATTTATTTGGTCGCGAGAATCAATATCTCGATCTCGAATATCGAATCCGTGACGCAGAAGGGTTTCATAGATGGAACGAATTGCAATTGGTGTCTGTGTTCTTATTTCCATCGCTTCTTTAGAAGTAGTTTTTAGGGTTACTTAAGTTTGAGTTTCGTTAGAGATATGAGAGACTCTTTGTTGTTGATGTGTTTACACTACTGCGGCCTTTGGGGGAATTTACAGACAATTTGATGTCACTTTTTTTAGCAAAGATGTTACTGGAGAAATAAATATATTGAGATTATTATTGATACATTGCTTACTATGATGTTCAAACATGTTTAGTTAAAGTATATAGTTGAACTGAAGACCGTAGTATTGTCAAATAGCGATGCAATCGTCTCGAGAAGATCGTGATTATTTTTATTAGACTGCGTTTAAAAAGCAGCGCAAAGAAACAATTATTTTAATATCAATATATACAAAAACAAATCGATAAAGACTTACTTCGGTAACTCTGACTTTCTTTCCGAGGCGACTGCGCGTAGATATTGTGTTCCATGGATAGATAACGTAATATCAACTAGTTATTTTAAAACTAGAATAGCAGCTTACATTCTCCTATGTCTAATTAAACAGACATTGCATAAGAAACTAAACAATTTTACTAAATACATAATTTAAGTAGCATTCGATCAAGTACATTATCAAGAAGCTAGCCAGCAATAGCGAAGTACAGACTGTTCCGACAATGATGTAAATAAAAATAATCGTTTGAATCACACAGTTGCAAATTACAACGAAATTACAGTTACGTATTAATCAAGTAAAATGGATATATTAATAAAACCTTACCGAAGCTCGGGAATATATAAAATTCACAAGCGTCTATTCCAATCCAACCGTTCAAACCGAAGACGCACGAGAATCGCGAAACTTTATCTCGATCGGCCGTAACACGTCGCAAAATTTCTCGGCGTCCTGTGACGGTTCGTTGCCCGGGTCGCAGGTTGAAGGTGACCTGCGACGGGACGCACCTGCACTACATCAAAGCTTATCAGTTCGTCGACTCGCCGGAATGGGAGGCCATGCAGGAGAACATCGACGACGTCTTCCAAGTGACGATTAGAGCCGAGGAATCCAGCACGTACATCTGTTGGACCAGGCTGAAGTTGCTCAGGGTACTCAGGCACAGGCCGCTACTTAAGGTCGTCCTCAACACCCTCATCGGTAAGGACATTACGTCCAAGTTGTACGCCCTTAACGAGCAGCTCGCTGGTGTCGCCGCGGCCAGTGAGACAACCACGTCGAATCCTTACAGGGGTGTCGCGAGAAGTCTCAGCGTCGACGCTGTGAACACTGAAACCGCTGGCAGAGTACGCTCGACGACGTGGAAGGCACAAAGGAGGCACAGCAACCCGCGGAGCGACAGTAAGTCTTTGCATTCTGTTTTATCCTGAGGTTAGTCTGTAAGCTCTGTCGTATTTTTCGGGAATTTCGGGCAGTTGTTTCGAATTACGTCACTGTATGTATATACTTACTGTGATCAGTCAAATAACTGGCTGTAAAATAAGGATAAACAAATTGGATGATATATTTTTCTTAGTGGAAATAAGAATAAGAGACGACGGAAATTGAAAGACCAATTATTTATACAATATAAAAATTGATGTAAAGTTAATTGAACGAATTTTATTGAACTTCAAAATCGGTTATTTGACCGATTCGCTGTATGGTTAGTATTGACGATCGAGAATGTCAGAAATAAGGAAATGAAGCATATAGAAAATTGGGCGAGAAAAAATGAAACGATCAATCGAGCGAATTCAGCCTAGTCATCAAGTCATCTAGCAATACATAGTTTACGTATACATACTTACGACAACACTCAGAGATCTTACAAAAATAATGTCGCAAATAATGAGAAACAGTGATACCGATTAACAATCTTTCAATTGCATTCACCGAATACTTAAGTGAAACGAAAAAAGAGACAAAGAAGATTCAATCAAAAGTAACTAAAATTCAGCACACCGGTGAACTAGTAACAAAAAAAAAGAAACTTTCTAACGCTTTCATAGAAGTCCTCCATGAACCGACTCTTCAAAGCTCAAAAAAAAACTCAAATTTCCCGGGGTATCGAATTTCCCTCGAAAAAGGATGCCAAGCGCGAAGTGTAGGCAACTGGTTTCAATTCTCGAGCACGAGTACGGTTGGTAAAAAAATATCGTTCTGCTAGACTCGTTTTTCAATAGTACCACGACAATCATAGGCACAAAGAGAGAGAGAGAGAGAGAAAGAGAGAGAAAGGGGAAGGAGAGGGAGAACGATTAACCTTTGCTGAACTTGGACAGTGCCGATCGATCGGTATCGAATAGCAATTACGCGGTTCGCATACCAGATATATACGGGGTAAGCTGACGAGCGTTGAAATTGACTGTCCACAGGGAGTTCACCCTCTCGGTACTCGCACCAGTATTGGGCGCCGGTGGTGGCGAATCACTTCCCGCCGACTTCGCCGTTCACCCAGGGCCAGAACCTCGGGTACTCGTTACTGCCGCAGGGCGTTCAGTTTTCGCCACCGTCACGGGTGCCCCTTCTGTCGCATCAGCCGTTGACACGGCAGCGTAGCGGCGGCACGAGCGGCGATTATACCCTGCTACCTCAGACACCGAAGCTCGAGAGGAAACGCTCGAAAAAGGGGACGAGGGAGGTGAGTACCGACCCGCTATCCATCTACCCGACACTTCGCGTTCCGTTTTTGCAACGGAGCTGTTAACTCCGAAACGTGCGCGAGCTGCGCTTGATTGCGAAGTTGGGCGTTGAAATAATTTCTCGGTCGCGTTATTCGTTATTACAGTAATGCTCGCTTAAATTCCACGATTTCGGGTTTCAATGGTGAAATTTAGCCGAGCAGGGAAACAGGGGGAAGCTATTTCCTTCCACTGACTCGAGCACCGCCTGGTGAAGGTGGAGAATCGATATAGTGAGTTGAAGCGGGATAAACGCAGTCCTAAAATCGAGAGTCGAGAGGCGGAAGTTTAAAGCCGCACTCGTCAAATATGAATATGCGATGAAGAAAATTGAAATTAGTCATTTTAACCTTATCTTCTCAAATGTTGTGCCAGTGAATTTGTGAGATTTTTGTGGTTAAAATGAGTCCGAACATGGTGGGAATCGGACTAGTTTTACCGGCTTAATTTAATTAACGAAATTAAGGGTTCACTCCCTGAAATGGGTATTAATTACATTAAGCCGGTAAAACAAGTCTGATTTCCATCGTGTTTGGACTCGTTTCAATCACAACAATCTCAGAAATCCACTGGTACTATATTTGAGAAGGACAGGTTAAAATGACTGTAATTGAAATTTCCTTCATGGCGTATTCATATTTGACGCGTGCGGCTTTGAAGTTCCGCCTCTCGACTCTCGATTTCAGAACTGCGTTTATCCCGTTTCTGCATGTTGTATTCATTTTCTGTTCCTGTATATTGAAATCACGTTACACTGAACTCGATGCAGTGTGTAGTGGGAAAGAGTAGGTATGCTGCAGTTAAATTTAACCGAGCAGATTTTGTGGAATTTAAGCGAACATCACTGTACTCGTTACTTGTATAGAGAAGCTTCATTCGTTGTTTACTAAATTGTCGATCGGTTTCGAGTTCACTCATGTTTTCCTGCCCAAACTTTGACTGGTCACGAGTTAACTCGTGTTTGCACTTGCATTAGCCATTTCAATGTTTGATATGCAGAGCAATATAGAATACTGCAAAAGCGAAATATTCAAAGTTATATAAAAGATATGCCCAAAGTTTAATTTCAATTCATTGTGTATATATAAAATATACTGGAGTTTATTCAGATTGTTTCACTTTCACATTTAATTACGGAATAATAACCGGTGACATGGGATAGCTCCTTCGCACGACTTCCGGTCAACAATATGTTGCTATTCGTAACTCCATATTCGCATTTACAAATTTGGTCGTATTATTATATGCAGCACTCAGCAAAATCTGCTCAAAATAATGGAAAATGACGAATAAATTCAGTTTATTTATTATCTACGAATGCTGAATATGTGTATTGATTATTCGTTATTTGAAGGTAACAATTAGATCGAATTTATTCGTTGGTTCGAATAACTTTTGCTCGACACTGCTCGATTGTACGTGGTTTAGAGTTTGAATCTGTCGTAAACCTGATTTGCCAGGAATTAATCCTTTGCGCTATGAGATCACCTCCAGCGCGATAACACTTTTCAGAACACTACTTTGAAACAAAGTATTTGTGTTCCAACAGTATGCATTCTTTGTCAACGATCCTTATATAGTAATCAAAGTTTAAACTTTAAATAACTGTACCTGACAACTGTAACTTCGTATCAGCAGGGTGAATATCTTTTCGGTAAATTTCAGAATTTTCTACGTTATAGAATACCGTGGAATATGTTAAAAGTCATATCCAACATGTATCTGTGTATCTCTAACAGGAATGACGGACGAAATGACGAGACTTTGCGGAAACTTTTGAAATAACTGTCTGCCTCTTCGTACGCGCGCGTTGTCCGTGGAAACGGATAACGCGCCGGAACAGACCAATTAACTTTGATATATTGTTCGGAAGAATTGAATGGATTGTTTGACTGTTGAATTGTTTCCAGAAAATAAAAAAATGTACTGCGAGTAAAATAATGAGCCGATTAAACTGTGAAATCGGAATAAAGTAAAATCGTGAATTTTTGATGCAGTTTCGTGAAGTTGTTTTGCGAAGTATTGATCTACTTCATTTCGTGGCTGTTGTATGGATCTTTTTTATTCGAGAGAAGCTCTGTATTGTTTATTAACTTCCTGTAATATTCTAGAAACCCTTCATAGGCACTCGGTATGCTATTAATTTCTAAATAAAACGTTTATATTTTCAGTTTGAAAATTTGTTATGACTAGACTTATAAAAAAGCATGTTAAACATATGAAATATGAAAAATACGTAAGAGAAAAAAACACAGTTTTGAAATTCTCTAGGAATGAGATAAATTTCTGTCCAGGTTTCACGTTTCTACCTATTTTCTGTAAAATTATGCATTTGCATAAACATCCGCAGTCTAGTTATGACTATGACACGGATGCAAAAAAACACATTAATATAGAAAGGATAAACCCAACCATAGTTCTCTTAATTCCAATAACATTAGAAACGCTCTAAATTGCCTAGAGTGATCATCAAAGTTCCACAAAATATGAAAAACTCTAAACAATATTGTCGCACATAATAATTTCTTCAGCTAAATCAAAGAATTATACGAATTATCGATAAGAATGTAAGAATTCTCAAACGATTGTAGAACGAGACCCTCCGTTTATACACAATTGAACCTCATGTAAGAAACATTCCCAGGATTTCAACAAATATTCACGAGTAGAGTGTTCGTACAGAAAACACATCGGTCGTCGACGCACTTTCACGATCTCACCCGGCGAGTATACTTATCCGTCGCTATTGGTGTTTCCTGTTTATCCAGCAAAAACCTGTCCAGCCCTCGAGCGCAAGGCGGACTGATCCCGCAAAAACCTGAATGGCGCCGTTGTTCAATAGCTCGATGCGCATTTTACATGTATCTCGAGCTTTTGTTTATCTCCCGGCTTTTCCGGTTACGGGCTCGAACAGATTGCTATCCCGAACCAGCGACGCCTTTCAACCGCGTCGTTTCTTCTCTTCGCCCGGGGATGATTAAGTGTCCCGAATCGAAACAGCTTTCTCCCGCTTCTTCGTCTTCAGTCCCGAGGATAAAACGACCAGCCGCAGCCAAGAAGAGCGTTACATCGCGTCATAAATCGCGACCGTAGAAAAACCCCGATGAATGTACTAGGTGATCCCGAAATTTCGCCGTGGGGAAACGCGAGTTAATTCTACGCGGGGGAATACGACAATGCTCGCTTAAATTCCGGTGGAATTTAGCCGAGCAGAAAAACCAGGAGGAAGCCATTTCCTTACAGGAACTGAATCGAGCGCAGCTTGACGAAGGTAGAGAATCGATATAGCGAGTGGCAGCGGGATAAACGCAGTCCTTGGAAAATCGAGGGTTGAAACGCGGGACTTCAAAGCGATGCCGCACTCGTCACATATGAATATGCAACGAAGAACATTTCAATTACAGTCATTAACCTTACCTTCTCAAATGTAATGCCAATGAATTTCTGAGGCTGTTGTGATTAAAATGAGCCCAAACACAACGTGAATAACAACGTGAAGAGTAGGGATAATGCAGTGAAATTTAACCGAGTAAATTTTGTGAAATTTAAGCGATCACTGTAAGTCGTAAATGTAGAATGTCAGTTTTTCATTGGAGACTTCATTTCGGAGATAATCGCTTTTGAAAGGTCATGCCACAAGTAATGATTATCCAGTTATAAGGACAAGTTGCAAGTTTATCATATTTTATACTACCTTTGTTCTTTGGGCCTTTGTATTACTATACCTTTGATTTAACTTCTCCAACTTTAACCACTGCAAACATTTTGTTTCTAATTTTGAACTGCAACGGGATTACTAGTAAAATGTGGGAAGAGATATTTATTAAAAAATAACCTTTCAATTCGTCTGATTTTCATGGTACAGTATATTAACATTTTGATTATAACAGAAGTATGCTATATAGTTCACATCCTTAATTATCTAATTTCATAGTTACCTCGGATCGGATAAATTCAAAGATTCTGTACGCGACTGTATGAAGAAAATAATTTCAAGATGTAGAATAACATTTTTTCATGTTTCTTCGTTCCAAAGATAACCACGTTCGAAAATTCTTCGATGTTTCGGTTAATTAACTTGCCTCACAATATTATTATTAGAATTTAACAAACATTGATATCATTCAATTGATTGTACTGCAAATTACATACTATTCCTCTGTTATCAATGATCATACCTCGGAGCATACGTTAGCATAAAATAAGACTGAAATGTTCTCTTACTTTCAATAAACTACTAATAACAAAGTAAATCGATCAGAGCTCAAAAATAAATCATAATACAAGCAGTTAACGATTGTGCGTCGCGGAAGCTTTCGTAATCGATTATCTCGGAAACGATGTGTCCAACGAGAAAGAGTTATCGCATATTTTTGATCCGGCATTGCGCGTAAATTAGAGCCGGCTCAGTTTCGGAAACACCCAGTATGTCGTTACGGGAACAAAATTCAATTACGACGCGTGCTCGAGCCAGAAAAGTGGACCGATATTGAGTTACCGTGTCGACCCGCTTCACCGGTTCCGGCCAGATGGTTTCATTCTTGACCCGCGAACGGAAAAAGTCACTGACGAAACGAACGGAGGTCTGACTGTTACCCATGGTCGCGAATAGAGCAGCTGCGTCGCGAGAAAAGCTGCGCGAGCCTCTTCAGCCGAAGAGTGTCGGAGGACTAGCTTCTTCAGGGAGACAAATAGCGCTACGTTAGATGCACAGAATGTCGTTCCCCTTTTCCCGCCTACGGCGGAGTTTTACTAACTGACGCTTTACTGCGAAGTCTTCATTTCTCTCAATTATTTCTTCCCTGCTTGCTGCTAACGCGTTCAAGACGGAATGAGCTTCCCCGAACCGTTCGTGCACTCGACTTTTCTTATTTCTCTGCTGGCTCTCCATTTTGTGGATTCGCCGATAACGAGTGTTGTATCGCAAGAAAACTTGGGTTACTGATTAAAAAGTTTTTAAAATGAAACAGTTTTTCTACGTTTCGATTGTATAAATTTTTGTTTTGCTTCTATATACATATCAACTGTGTTCTAACCAATACGCATGTTATTCAAGTTAAAATGTTCGAGTGAATTTTGATAGATACCCAGATATTTAGGGGAGAAGTAAGTTCCTCGATATGAATGTATCGGTTTCGATAAATGAATGATTTCAATGTTCGCAGCTAGAAGTATTAGTAAGATTCTCTTGTATAAAAGAATGCGAATAAACTGCAGTATAAAAATGACTGATCTACTGTTCAAAATCTAGAGAGATTGTACTTATAATAGATGGCTGAGACATGTGGCGGAAGTGCGATCAGTCATTGTATCGCTGGCGATGTTCCATCAGTGAAATGAATGCGGTGTACTCAATCTCAACTACGCAAGGACCTGTTTACGAAGTGCTTTAAAGAGAAAATAAAAAGGTGGCACCGAACGATACATTTAAAAATTGGGTTCATCCTTTACTAGATTTAAAAAGGAATCCAGCAACAAAGATTCTTTGTATTTGTATTGTCAGCTGAATATTTGGAATAATCATTTTGCTCGCAGAAGTGAAAATCGGAATATGCTAATTAGATTATTGTATTATAAAATACTGCTACTCGGGATTGAGACTTGGAACGGAGTTTAAAGATATGAATACTAGTCTTTTATTTACAGTCGAAATGGAATGCTACTTTTCTGTTATCAATATTTAATGTTCAGAGTAAATGCAAGGTTACAATAAAAGTCTTCCTCGTTTAATAAGTCAGAAGGGATAAAGTGGTTCTGATAAGAACAACTGTAAAATGAATCGTAAAACGCGTCAGTCGTTTCTTCTCTAAACATGAATATTTTTATATTAATACCTTTTCGTATGACATAAAAAGTGAGAATTAAGGAATTAGAAATTTAAATATGGAAAACAGTCGAAAAATACACTGTATACCTATTCGAATATTTACTCGAGAATATTTCAACATACACGATATTTTCGAACGTCTATTCCTACGAAATACATTGATATTCTTATTAAATGTTATAAGTATGCTCAACTCACACCAAGACAGTTATAAGTGAATAAAGAAATAAACGAAGTTTCTGAAAATCTAAATCAAAATAGACTCTACCACTAATGTTAACTTTAATGCATTGAATGCCAAATGAGTTTCGTACTTTTTCGAAGTATATTGACTAACAATGAAACCAATTTGATCGTAAATATAAGAAATGTATATGGGTCATATAATTAAAGTACAAAATTTATCTATTAACCACTTGCGGTGTAAAGAAATTCGTTTATTAATTTTAAATTTGTTTATTAATAATCTTGCATATTACGATATTTTTCGAAACAATTTGGAAAATTGACATTTCTGACAATTGCCTGTCGACGTGTACAACACGTCGCTGACGTTCATATAACAGAATTTCCACCGCAAGTGGTTAACACATTGAGCGCCGGCTAAATTTCAGCTACTAAAAACGCGAGCGTCGGTGATTATATTGATACATTTTTAAGCATCGATTAAACCAAAATTTATGGAAGAGAACAAGGGATTCGATTTTGTAAATTTTAATTTGGACCTGTGTTATACATACCTAGAATGTTACATGAACGTAGGATCAGCAATTAAACGACAGACTAAAAATCCCGCGTTATCGGGGCCGGCGCTCGATGTGTTAATAAAGCTGAACATGCTTTAACGCTAGGTTTACGGAACGCGTCAAATTGACGCATATTGGATTTCAGAAATATTATTTTGTAAATGTTTACGCCGATTTTGATTGCTGCGATCACATGTACCCCAATCACCCACTATCGAATCTCCAGTTTCCACAATCGAAATAAACGAGCATCAATTCTTTTAGGAGTAATAGAATGAGGTGTACAATAAATGCCCGTAAACCTAGCGTTAATCGGTATTCTATAATCTACAAGTAACATTCACGAAATCTCTGGTTGGCAATTGTTCCAGGTTACATTCGAGACGCCCGTATGACGGTCGCTCGACGGGGAGGGCCCTGCCAGCGTGCCTCTGCTGTCTTTATCGCCGCAGCGTTCAGCCTAGCCCCGTCGAGATCTCGTCAAACTGTATCAGCTTCCATGGTTTGCCCTCTGAAAGCTCGTCGCCGCCGTCGCCGTCGCCGTCGGACCGGTTACTAATCACACGGCCTATCAGCCGACGGATCATCGTGCCAGCGCGGTGCCAGATGACACCCGAGTGACACGGACGACAGGAACACACACACCATACACGGGCATAGTGACAGTGCTTCGCGTACTCGACTCGCTCGACGTTGCTGGGAAAAAAGATCCTCCGTCGTTCGGGTTCCGTCGGGTCGCGTGGTCAGACTTTACCAGGGGTTGAAACGGTCACGTTCATGACTGTTAATTAATGTTACAAGAAGGTTCCCAGTGAAACAGTTGCGGGGAAATGGAACGACATCGCGGCGATCGTAGTTCTAGATATGGTTCTGGTTTATGGAATAATATAATTTCGCAAATTATACAGGAGGAGCTCAAACTCTGTCCGCCGTACTATAGTTTGACCGAAATTTTGGTTACAGAAAGGATAGATAAGATTGTTTTCACCTATAGTAATTATCTCTTACCTCTTTCAGTATTGTATTCAGTATATAATTGGTGCTCGTTCGAAAACTTTCTAACACATTGGAGAAACACGCTGTCCAAGTTCCTTTCAGTTCGAATAAAATAATACGGAGAAGAAATTCGAAAAGCAATCCAAACTCCCTCCGACCCGCGACCTTTACAACGACGCTCCGATTCTCACAACTATTTCGAAAAGCAGAGCCTACGACGCAACCGTGTTCAACCCCCGGTGACTCGATACACATACGTTCATATCCCGCAAGTGCTACGCCTTACACGTTGTTACCGAATACTACCACACACAGCCACATCGACACGTGCACGTACCAAAGTAACGCCGCGTGTTCGCGGTCGATCGACAGTGAAAAAATGAAGAACACAGAGAGAGAGAGAGAGAGAGGGAGAGTGAGAGAGAGTGAAAGTGAGAGAGAGAGTGTGGAATGACGGCGAGTCCCCGAACCGAGTGGACGAGTGTCCCGCAAACGTGTTCCCGTTCCTTTCGCGAAGGAAGAGAGCGTCGGTGCAAGTTCGGTCGATTCGAGGAACACGCAGTTCAGTTCGAGGGGGAGACGAGGAGGAGAGGCAGTTTCGTTCGTGGTTCAAGACCGGAGGAAATATCAACGGCGAAAGGCATCTCGGGACTCGCGAAACGCGGGCTCGACTGTTGGAACGTCGAATTAGGAGAACGGATGACGATGGATAAAGCCTGTCGCCCATTTAACAACGCACACCGTCAGACCAGCAATGTTCAGTCCTCCGCCTGTCGATGATGTTTGCCCGTGCGTCGAATGTATCGACATCGATGCATCAACCGTTACACCGGTTACCCGCCCGACATCGCATATTCCGCGGAACGGAGTACGCTCGAATAAAATATTAACGCTAGAAGTACCGAGTATTTAAAATGATTGATGCGCGCTCCTCGCGAAGATCACAAAGGTGTGTTTTTCTAAGTTTTCGACGACGTTCGTTTCACGGTAGCGTTCGCAGGAGACGGAAGTTGAAGTCAGTCATTCTGAGTAGCACGGTGGTTCTAATGTTAATGGACGGCATTGTTATTTGATGAAAATACGAATAGAATGCAGTCTATAACGCATATCGACTAACGTTATTAACCTGTTAATGGGGGATGATGACTGAACTCATCAAAATTATACACTTGTATCTTTATTTATTTACTGAAAAATAAATTAATTAATATTGAATTCAGTTGTGCCGTAATGTCCGTAGCTGTCTCAGCTGCGTCGTATCTATGTTATAATTTTCTTCGGAACGTCTTTACTCTCCTTTAACCCTTTAATTGACATGTTCGCTATATTCACGATGGATTGACAAAAAATTGAACGTTCTTAACCAATTTAAATTGATCATGATGTATCTTTCTATATAAACCAAAAGCTTTTGTTAAGAGGAATCGAATCGCAAGATTTTTATTTCGCTGGGATCACATGGGAAACAAAATTAATATTTAAAGGTCATTGTATACAGGAAAATTTGTGTGTTAAGGGGTTAATAGACGAAATTTTCATCGTGGAATGAATCACTCGGTTAGCAAACATATTTTTCATCTGACGGGAAATGGTAGTCGAAAATATCTGCAGATCGTTGATATTGTACCAACAGCACGAGAATTGACGTACGATGATAGGCAAGACATTCGTAACGATCTGTGTTACGGACAGGTGGACGCATTACCATTCAACTAATGAGTACATTAATGAATATATCGATGTTGGTCTGACGCTTGACACGTGTCGCGCTGTTGAGTGCGCGACAGCCTTGAAGACAGACTCGGGGAGAAGAGATAAAAGGGGAGTAGTTTTATTTGTATTCGCTGGAAAGCCTGGCAAAACGCTCTTCCGCGATCGGATCGAACTTTTTCCACTTGTTTTCCGTGACGAGCGCTACAACTGTTGACGCTTGTCTTCTTCTTTAAGACTTCCGGATCCGTTTCGTTGTTCGGACCCCGAGGTACGAGGTGACCTCTAATCGGGAACCGATGAATCGCATTTAAACGATTTGATAACGTTCAGACGAAAATTTCTTCTTTTGTTTCTCAGTCTCCTTTTCTTTCTTCTTGGAATTTCCATTTACGCGACGCTGAACGCTCAGCGGACACGAGAAAATCTCTAAGAGACGGTTCGGTAGATGTCTGTCCAACGTACGTTCTGAACTGCGATATCTACTAGCTAATCGTAGAATTTCTCGAGCCAACTACGAGTGTGCGTATTATCAAGTTTTTCTTGCTTCAAATGGTTGTAAATAGCCATCTAATTTTTAAGGAGATTGATATTTATACTTAGAGAACGTTTTTACGTTTTTTTATAGGAGTTTTTTGTCTCGAATGAATTCGTTGCGTAACATCGAATTCCGGAGATGTTTTTTCAGAATAAACTGTTTAGAAGAAATGTCGACACTGGTCTGAACTCTGACTGGACGGTAAAATATTCATCAGTAACGCGTGCATGTTTTACGATCGTATAGCTATCTTTTGTCTACTTCGATCAGATTCAGTAGTTATACATAATCAGTTGTAATCATGCAATAAGTATATAAATTTTATAAATTTCAGGAAAACTTTTTCAGTGATTTTTCAGTTTTCAAAATTTTGTATATTCTATGTTTCAAACTTTAATGAAGAAATTGTATTTTTTTCTATCTCTTATGTCTCTTAGAAGTGTTTAACAATTATTTTGATTGAAGAAATGCTTAAGTAATTTATTTTCATAATTAGTACATAAAACTGGTTAAAGAATGATTAAGAAGAGTTTATTGTTATTCCATGATTATTATTCAAGAATCAAATATTATCAAATATATTAAATGTTAAATATAATAAAAAATCAAGTATTATGTGTAAAAATTAGAAAAACGAAACACAATGCACACGTTAATGACGTATATTCTTTTGGACTGTCCAAATTGAAAACCATGTCGACATCTTTTTTAAATTGTATCTTCATCAACAATATTTATACAATCCGATGAGCAAATTCAAGAAAATGCATACTACTTGAATAAATTTTCGTTAAAATGTAAAAACAATGCAAAAGTATGCAGTTCAATTTCGATTTAAATTTAAATGGTTAATTACAACCATTAAACACTTAAAAATTTAATAACCGCATACACTGAAATATTCACAATGCTCTCCTTTATTTTCTAAGAACAAATTAAGTTTTTCTAACTTTTAATCTTTATATAGCATCTTATTTTGTCAAAAATCGTTGTTTTTGCGAAAATTTGTTTGTCAGAGACTCTAAGGGTGATCAAGTAATTTTGCTTCTAGAGTCATGTATGGAACAAAGAACTTTTCAAAAATCATCCATTGTACAGTGCAGATCAGAAATAGAATTTTCATTTGTTGGATATCGTTATTATTGGTATATTTTCAACGAATGTCACCGCTGTGTACACCCTTGCATCGACTGTGATTATAACGATTATAATTGTTAAGTATTTCAGAGGAAAATGATGATTAGACACACATACAGGGACACGCTAACTGCGAAGTAACAAATACCGGATACTCGGGTACTCGAGTCGGGTAAGTTCAGACGTCTCATTGTTCTGTCTCACAATTAGTCGTAGTTGGAGAAGGAAAAATTATTTTATCATGAACTCAATACATATATGAATTTCTTTCCTCTTTCTTTCTGTCATTAAAAGTTAATCTAACTTCTTTTATCAAAGAGTAAATTTCTTTAGGTATTTATATTTATATTGAAATGTGAGATAAAATTAAATTCATTCTTATGTTATTTTCAATGACGATATAGTGAAGTTGTTAAAAAAATTAAAGAAATTTGTCTACTTCTTCAGTCTTTAAAAATTACTTAAAAATTTTATTTTACATTAAAACCCGCAATTTATTTATTACTATTACAACATGTGGTACAGATTGTGAGAAATTTTTACAATATATACTGCATATTCATTAATGTAATTATGAATTATTACTGTGATTTTATTAATTATTCATTAACAAACTGTACATATTTATGCACTTGTAATATCCATTATTGGTATTCTTCAAATACGTTACTTTCGATTATATACTGGGTAAGACCCAAATCCATCTATTAACAAAACAAACCATTCAATACTTTTCAATGGTTTCGTGTATAGTCATGACTCAATTTAATTTTTATATTTAAAGAAACCCGGAGAAAAACGTCATTTAATCACTATAATTTTGTTATATTTTTTGTATCAAAATAATTTACAAGTATATTAATCTCTTCAAAGATATAGCCATATACAGTAACATTTGGAGTTTGTTATTAAAAATTAGATTTAAATAGCCACAAACGTGAATATTATTTGTATTCAAATTTAATTATCAACATTTTTATTAAACTTCGTTATTACCAAAACTTTATTAAAATTGTTTATCATTATTCTTATCATTTTTTTATTTCATCTCATTCTTACCCATTCGAAGTGTATAAAATGTGATCAAAATCGTTATTATTTTCAAAAGACTTTACCCTTGAATAGATCTCTTGTTCATTCTGTTCGAGGTAGAATACCGCAGCCCATATTCTTGAACACAGTTCGTAACTGGTTGAAATTAACCGAGTAACTCTTGAAAGTGGCAGCGTTTCGAACTTCCTAATGCGTTTCCGAGGACAAACGATTAATTTTCAACAAACGGGTAAGATCGATCCGATCGTTTGTTCGGTTACATAGCAATTCATCGATCCGAACGTCTGAACTTCGTCGTGTCGAGGTCGAAGATTCCCGTTGCATACTCGAGTAATCCACGAGAATTTGAAATTGTGATAGACATGTGATGCATTCGCAGCCATAACAAGCGCTACACACACATATATACCAACAGTGATGAACAAAAGTGTCGGGACAGGTCGAATTCTCCTGTAGAAACCCATGTAAATTTCTAAGACATACGATTCTGGATCTAATTTTTCTGTACCGTATAATTTCAATTAAATTGAAATTGATATCATATGTTGAAATATATAATTTTCAAATCAAGTTTAGGTATTCAATAATTTATTTTAAACAGTTGTATAGTAAAAATAAATAATAACAAATATATAGGAGACCGTTTTCAGTAAAACGTAAGTTTTGCCAGACTCATTATTTTTTAATAAAAATTATTCGAAAATTATATGTAATATTTTGTTTTTAACAGTCTTCTTTTTCCACAGTTTTCATCTATAGTTGAACATTGAATATTATAAGCTTTTTAATTTTACCTTAGTTGCTGTTTCAATTGAGTATGAAGTTTTTCCTATTTTTCTGTCTATCATTTCCTAGGAAATTGAAATTTGACGATTATAGAGAAGTCTGAGTACAAGCTTGGCTAACTTTAGATTGTTGACGTTAGTCTTCTAAATTTCACTTGAAAATATTTGAACAAATATATGTTTTTAATTATTTCTTTTATAAAACTAAAATCTCAATTTTAACGATTTGCTTATTCGGTACTTTTGCCTTATATTTCCTGGGTCATTAAATTGAGAAATATTGAATTTATTCTCATCAGAGAATACATAATCCCCAAATTCTGATTTTTTATGTAAATACACTTTCGCAAACCCCAATCCCCACCTCTTATCATTTTCACTATCTACACAATGACTTTCTTATCCGAACTCTTGAATTGTACTCAGCATTTTAAAAAACTCTCTGGATAATTATCGGATGATCATTACACTCCACACTATATTCACTTTTCTCTCGTGCCATAATTTTTGTCGAAATTGCTACAGGATTTTTTGCTAACTTGGTAATTCTCTTTTTTATCTCGAATTAACTTTCGCGAGCAACCAAATCTCACGGACAATTTACTACATTTCGTTCGCCTGTTCCATTATATTTTTCTTCGTACCTGTAATATAATTTTCCTTTGTAAAATTTTCGTTCTTGTGTTTTCCAGCTAATATTTAATCTGCACTGATCCTTTAATTTAATAAATTTATTGCTTAACTATGGCAATGCGCGTCAAAGTTTTTGAATTTTGCCAGATATAACAGACGTAAAAATACTATACATTTTTAAATTATTATTACACAATTAAAATTATTATCAAATGTTCACTATAAAAATATGCTATATTTTTCTAAATATTAAAACATTTAATTTTTAAATGCGCCTGTATTTCTATTTCGCTAAAAACAATTTTTATCCACTTATCTTCATTCCACAGTCCCGCAACGTTAATTAGTTATGATACACACAAAATTAGACCAGGAATCGCGATTTCGCAAATTTTCCTAGAACTCGCAGGAAAATTTTACCTACGCCTATAAGACACCTGTTCATCGTAGTGTACATGTTACGATTCAAGTGATTAACCAGTTTATATTAATAATAGCCGGATAATATTAATAAT